GGTTGGAATGATTTTGTTTATCACTATGGTAATAAAAGGGAATTCTTGATCAATCTATCACAAAAAGAAGTGACTATGAGCTTAGATACAATTAAAACATTAAAACTATCTCAACATCAGACAATATCTTTTGAAGAATGTGAAGTTTTTCGATGTGAAGGTAAGTTTGACTACATAATCTTAGAGTTATCTTTTGCATGCTGACCTATTTCTTTAAGGAAAAATGACCTTTCAATTGTCCTTATTTCTAGGCGCCTCAGACTGAAACCTGGTCACAAATTGATGGCTAAGACACAATCATAGTCCAAAGTAACATATGCAGAGTTTTTAGAAATGTGTTTGTGAGGAGGAGGAGGAAATGTGAAAGAAGGAGAGAGAGAGAGAGAAGCAAATATAAAGATTGTGAGATTCTCTTGGAAAAAAACAACAAAAGCCAGAGCCTGAGCTTCTGTTGATTGGTACTCAGTCCTTTCTGATGCAGGTTTCCATTATATCCAAAGACCAAAATTCAGTTGCCTTTTTTCTACTTAAGAACATTTAAATTGTTTCCAACATTTGCTGCTGTAAACAGTGCTCCTGTGATATCTTTATGCATAAAGCTGTGGACAAAAAATACTTTAGGGCAGTGGTTCTCAACCTCCTAATGCCGCGACCCTTTAATACGGCTCCTCATGTTGTGGTGACCCCCAATTTCATTGTTACAAACTGAACATAATTAAAGCATAGTGATTAATAACAAAAACAATATGTAATTATATTTGTGTTTTCTGATGGTCTTAGGCGATCCCTGTGTAAAGGTCGTTTGACCCCCAAAGGGGTCACGACCCACAGGCTGAGAACCGCTGCTTTAGGGTAACTTTCTGGAACTGGAATTATTGTTTAAGAGTTATTTACATTTACATTTTGACAGACTTTTCAAAAGCTTCAGTTGTCTATACTACCCCCAAGAGTGTTAAGAAATGCCTATTTTCCTGCATCCTTTGCCAAACTTCAGGAAATTTGCCGATTTGATGGTCAAAAGATGGTATTTCTCTCTCTCCCCTTAACATTCATCACTAACAAGTTAATGTGTATTGTTTCCTGTTGTCCCTTTTAAGCATCAAAAGAATTCTGGGCCTGAGCCTCATTGGTACAAATGAAGTCCCCAGCCCACCCCTGAACCTCTCTCACTGTGCTCTGCTTGAATAGGCATGAGTCCCACATGCTCTTCTGAAGTCATGAATAAAATTATAAATTCCAGAAGCTTCGTTATTGACAGTAACTTTTGGAAAAAAATCTTGTGCCTGTGTTTTTTGTTTTTGTTTTATTTCGTGTGCGTGTCTGTACATTATCCCTTTCAGACATAGGGCTACGGAGGAGAAATTAGAGCATTCCCAGTCTTTCCTTGCCTGTGCATGCTTCTAGGCCTTGCTTCTCTGATTCAGAAAGAATCCCCGCCTTCACCTCCCATGTGGGAGTGGGCCGCACACTATTGCTGAGTAATTGGGTAAGAAACCATCTGCAGACATCATAGTCTTCCAGTGTTCACCTTGCCTTTCGCCTCTTCAAATGAGGTGATGTTCAGGATATTTGCCATAATTTTCTTCAAGTGCTTTTCACTATAGTGCACTGTTCTCACAAAAAGGCTATTTTGGTATATTTTTCATTGACATTCACTCAGTCAGCCAACCATTCAACAACTTGTAACCTTCATTATTCTTTAATTATTTCCTCAGATTTATTGGACACAAGGAAGATGAAAGGGGTTGCTGAGTAAGTCAGTGTTTTTAAAGTTCTATTATTCTGTTCATTATCTTAATCTTATATTATAGGTTCTGTTAATAAAATTGGTAGCACAAATTATGACAGATAACTTGTGGATCACTATCCACAAGAATAAACTATATAATTATAAAGCTATTTGATAATTCTAATGTTAAAACCAAAAGAACACTACAGAGGGAAGACATTTCTAATTTTTGATATACTTGAAGGAAAATAATCATTTGGCTGTATGTATACATTTTTTTTTTTTTTTGCTAAGAATTCTTGCAGTTGCATTTTGAATTCTTTTAGGTACTTGCTATGGAAGGGGTGGTTGGTAGATGGGGAAATAACTATTATGAATTTCAAGAACATGATAGGAATGGTTTCTTTCCATAAACTTCAAAAGTCACATATTATGTTGTGGTTTTGAGTTTTATTATTCACTAGAGGCCCAGTGCATGAAATTCATGCACAGGTAAGGTCCCTAGGCCTGGCTGGTGATCAGGGCCAATTGGGGCCAGCTGCCGGCTCCCTTCGGGGCTTCCCTTCGTTTTGGGCTGCCCCCCTGGTGGTCAGTGCACATCATAGCAAGTGATCAAACTCCTGGTTTCCTGGTTGAACTCCCAAGGGGACACTTTGCATATTAGCCTATATATATATTACCCCAGCACATGAACTTCATGCATGGGTAGGGTCCCTAGGCCTGGCCTGAGATCAGGGCCAATGTTTCACGGCTGCCAGCAACCAGCAGCTGGCCCCACCTCCTGGCACTGCTGCTGGTTGCCCTTTGTGTGTGGGGTGACCATTGGGGTGATTGGGGATCAGGTGTCTCCCATGTTTGCTGCCACCGTGCCCAGTTCCTGGTTCCCCATCGGGCGATAAGAACCTGCTGGCTTGGGAAAGGGCCTGAGAGGTTGGCCGTTCCCGCCCACTTGCTGTTCCCACCTCCTGCTGCCACCAGTCACCCTCTGTGTGTGGGGCAACTGGTGGGGTGATTGGGGCCCCGAGGCTGCCCACGTCCACCCCCGGTTTCGGTTTCCCATAAGGCAATTGGAACCTGCCAGCCAGGGGCAGAGACAGAGAGGTTGGCAGGCAGGCCCCTATCAGGCGATCGGGGCCTGTGGGCTTGGGATAGTTCCTGCATTGATCGTCTGGCCCCTGGTGGTCAGTGTGCATCATAGCCGACTGGTTGTTCTGCTGTCCAGTCGATTTGCATATTATGCATTTATATACATAGGTAATTTATTTTCATGTGTAACATAGTTGATATTGAATTCTCAGTTTACATTGTCTGCTTGCTTAAATCTGAAAGATTTTATGTCTGAATGGCCTTAAAAGTGTAATTTTTGCTTTTTCTTCTTTTACAATAGGATTTAAGGTAGGATAATTTTATGTATTCTTATATAAGAAAGCAAATTGATCATCAAAAATAAATAATAATGTGTAAGAAAAGAAAAGAAATTCAAGGAAAATTTATGCTAAGATCTTGTGATCTAACCTCAGTCAACTGTTAAAATGGTCTTATCTAAACAGGCTCCAGGGGAGCTTACTGTCTGCCATAAGAACTTACAAACCATCTAGGGACCTGGTTCACCAAATACGAATTCTGCTCCTGGGTCCGGCTGGAGCAGGGAAGTCTAGCTTTTTCAACTCAGTAAAGTCTGTTTTCCGAGGCCATGTAACACACCAGGCTTTGGTCGGCTCTGACAGAACTGGGATATCCCAGCAGGTGAGTCCATTCTAGATCACTCAGCCTTTGCTAGTTTGTTCAAGTTAGATTTAAAAGTGTTTTTTTCCTGATCAACTTCATTACATGTACATACACTTCAACTATATATAAATAAAATGAACTCCTAAAGTTCCTTTCTTCCTCCTTTGCAGTACAGGACATATTCCATTAAGGATGGGAAGGATGGCAAGTCCTTGCCATTTATTCTGTGTGACTCAGTGGGGCTGAGTGAGGGAAAAGGGCTGTGCATGGATGACATACCCTACATCTTAAAAGGCCATGTTCCTGACAGATACCAGGTATAATTTAACAATTATTGAAGAGTTATAATTTATATTTAAAATGTTTCTTTTTGTCCACTATTAGGACATAAGACTCTAATCTAGTTAGTGCATCAGCCTTTATTTTCTTAAACTATAGTGGTTCAAGATCCTTTGTTTCTTTTGATATTTTATTTTACAAGGAATTAAAACATCCAAAAGTCTCTTCTATCATAGCTGTCATAACAATTCTGAATGCTGTTACACACTCAATTGATTTTGGCTATTCAACTTACTCACATCGGTAATCTTTGTTATGTAGCAGGAAGTCTGGAGGTAGGTAGCTTTGGGCCCGTGTGTCAGCTCTTTGAGGTTATAATTTTCAGGATCCTTTTGGCTTTCTGTTCTGAGATCCTCAGCATAGAGTGCTATGGATTGAATGTGTTCCTTCAAAATTCAGATGTTAAAGATGATGATATTTGGAGGCGGGCCTTTGGAAGATGATAAAATCATGGAGTAAAGCCCTCATGAGTGGAATTAGTGTCATAAATTATAAGAAGACCCAAAAGAGAGATGGTCTCTCTCTCTCAGCCACATGAGGACACAGCAAGAAGGTGGCTTTCTACCAACTAGGAAGGGAGCTCTCATTAGACACAAATCTGTCAGCAAAACCTTGATCTCCAGAACTATGAGTATTTGTTGTTTAAGCCACACAATATCATAATTTCTTATAGCAGCCCAAGAGGGCTAAAACATGTGACTTTTATTCTTTAAAAATATATTTTTATTGATTTTAGAGAGAGGGATAGTGAAATAGAAACATCAGTTAGCTGCCTCCTGCACGCCCCCTACTGGAGACTGAGCCCACAACCAGGGAATTAGTGACCTCTTGGTTCAGAGGTCCATGCTCAATCACTGAGCCACACCAGCTGGGCACTGACATGTGACTTTTATCCTCCTGCTATCAAGATGTTTACGCTGAGCACTGTTAGTGTTCCAGGCAAGAGGAAAGGGGAGATTAAAGAAAAGGGGTAGTCTGTCTTTTTAAAAAACTTTCCAATTCTTTTTGTAAATATTTAGATCTTGAGTTATTAATTAATTTACCTTATTCCAAATGAATAGTCAATTGCGGCAATATCTTTCATTGAACACTTTTGCATCTTTTTCCTAACAAAAATAGAGATTGGTTTTTGTATCCTGTAGTTTGTTCTATTGATGTATTTATACATTTCTTTATTATGTTCATTACCATATTGTTTAATTGTTTTAGTTACTGTAGCAACCCAGTATTTCTTAATAACTCACTGGACAAGTGGTACTCAATATTTATTTCTCACATTTGTTTTCACAGATATACTTTTCTAAGTGAGCTTGTTTGTATTTTATTTGATTCTTTGTGTTTTATTTGTTAGTGCTTTGAGTAAAATTGCATTAAAATTGCATACATTTCATACTCAAAGTTGTTTCACATCTTCACATATCCAGTGTTCCTATCCAGAAACACAGTATGTTTTATATTAATTTATATTATATTCATTTTATTTTATATTCTTTTATTCTTTAGCATAGAGCTAAATGACTATATATATACACACACACAAATATATATATATGATATGTATATCTTTTTTTCACAACATACAAATCACAGATTTTTATTACTAAAGTCCACACACATTATTAAACATAACTGTAATATCTTTATCACATCAGGATTATTCCTTAATTTTTCCTTAAATAATTATCAAATGTCACCTAAACTGGACAAATTTCTAATTGTCTTATAAGCACCATATTATGCATCTTTTAAAACAGTTTTTAAGTAATGATTCAAAAAACTTATTCAGCCTCTTTTAATTGCAAATTTTGCCTCTATCTCTTTTGGCATTTTTACTTGCAATATGATTTTTAAGAAATCTGGTTATTCTATAGAAATATACTTTCCCATAGTCTGAAATTTGCTGTTTTCATCACTTGATGTAGTTTTATTTTTTATGTATCCTGAAAATTGGTAGATGAATATAGACACACATTCAGATTTAGGTCAGCTTCATAAGATGGTGTTGTGCTCTTCCATGAAAGCCACCCAATTTTGAACTTTCTCACTTTTGTAATATAGGTTTCATGAACATTCAACACCTAGATACTTTTATTTATTAGGGTATAAAAATAGTGATATTCTATCTCTATCATTGTTTCTTCATTTCACATGTGTGAAAGACAACTTCCCCTCATCCACTATTTGATTACTTAGTGGTGCAGTAAATACCGTTAATATAGGATGGTCAGGATATCTGCTTGATTTTTTTATAAGCTTTTGAAATAATAAGTTGGTTTCTTTACATCTGCCAATGTTGACCAGTGATTATTTTATTATCATTATGAACTCATGAATTGAACATATTTGATGTGTTTCAATGCACTGTAGTTTATCTACATAAAGATGTCAAATGTAACATCTTTGACCACTAGGAGCTGCTACAATTTGGATTCTGAGTCCTGTTGACATAAAAATCTGCTATATCTCTTGAATTCTTGTATGGCTATAAATATTAACCATATTTTGTATATTTACAGTCCAGATTTTGAGTCAGTTATTTCTCTAAGATGTATTGGTTTGGTTTGGTTTGGGTAATTAGAACTGTTCATTGCTATTTAGTGAATTGTTGGTTCTTGCTTTTTTTAGTGGACAAATCTAAATATAGATACAGGACTATATAGTTTTTACTTAATCTCTTTTATCTTGCATCAGTATCTGCTTTATCTGAACAGAAAATCTCTAGTCTCAAGGATACCAGAGATGACAAAATATGTCACAACTCATTTGCTTTATATCACATAATATTCACTGTAATCTCAGAAATAATTATCTAACACTACCATGAATGATCTAACCATAATTATATTTAATATCAATAGAATAAAAATAACCAATAAACATTGGAAACAATTTTAAATTTTTAGCAGACTTTTTATATTGTGTTTAGCACATATCATGTAGTAGGAGTACACAAATTACTGTGTTTTAAAGTCAATCAGACATAGTTTCTTTCTGTGTATATATGATTCCAGTTGGATGCAAAAGTTCACTCATTTAATTTAATTTAGAGATTGCTTTTTAAATTTAATTTTGTTTTATATTTATATATGTTTATAATTTATATGGTTCTAAAGTCAAATCTACAAAATAAGGTATATTCAAAGAATCCATCTTCCTTCTCTGTCACTTCAAATGCATTTCTCCCTGATTCCTATAAGTGTCCATATAAAAATGTATGATTTACTTCCATTTTTAATATATTAGAAAATACAGATTTGTGGTTCCCTCTTTTTCAGAGAAGTGATAGAATACCATATGGCATTGATGTAACATAATTTTGCTGCTACAAATAGTCCTGAAATTGATAGCCGTGTACATACATTTGTGGGACAGATCGCCAGCAGAGGATTTCTAGTTTCAGAGTAAATGCATCTCATTTTGTACCACTTCCCCCCTCTGCCTGATGATACCAATTCCACCTTTGCCCACATTGCTTCTTCTATCTAGGATACTTTCTGTCATATTCTTATTCCCTTATTCAGATGAACTCACCTGTGTTGTTTTTGTTTTTGTTTTTTACCTTCCTGTGACAGATGCCTTCTTCTCAGAAGCCTTTTCTATGTGAAAGGACTGCTAGCTACTTGCATAATGACTTTCTCTACCAGATTGTTATCTTCATACTATTAAAGCTTGTTTGTTATGTTCACTGTTTTATTCACTTGCACAGTGCCTGATACATAGTATGTGCTTATAAATATTTGTTGAATTAATATGTTCCTTTATGTTTACCATACAGTTTAATTTCATGAAACCAATCACACCAGGTCATAGTAACTATATTGACTTCCCATTGCTGGAGGACAGAATCCACTGTGTGGCGTTTGTGTTTGATGCCAACTCTATTGAGCAGCTCTCTGATGAGATGGTAGCAAAGATCAAGAAAGCTCGAAGGGAGGTGATAAAGTGTGGTGAGTCTTATTCCACTGTACTTCTAAGGCTAACTGATTAGACTATATTGTAGAATTGATTTGAACAGGAAGAAGAACTCATGAAAATGCCTATTTAAATATTCCCTGGCACATCCGTGTGGTTCATTCAAATCAAGCGCTCACTAGCTGTATGTCTTTGTGCAAGTGATTTAAACTTTCTATGCCACAGTGTCTTAATCTATAAAATTAATATAACAATGGAGGTTTTAATGTAAGGATTAAACAAATTAATTTATATGTTGAGTTTAGTACAGTCCTCACTGCATCCTAGCATGCATTTATTTACCAACAGTCCTAGACTTCCCCTTGGGCCTTAAAGGATTAGAAAGAGGTAAACACATTTTAGTAAGAAAAAGAGAGGAAAATAAGATGCTTGATAAAGAGAGGTAGCATAAAGGCTTTGAAGAAGGTAAGCAGGATTAGGGAATTAAAGTGCCCCACACTGCCTTCCCTTCCCTTCCCTTTCCTTTCCTTTCCTTTCCTTTCCTTTCCTTTCCTTTCCTTTCCTTTCCTTTCCTTTCCTTTCCTTTCTTTCCTTTTCTTTTCTTTTCTTTCCCTTTCTTTCTTTTCTTTTCTTTCCCTTTCTTTCTTTTCTTTTCTTTTCTTCTTCTTTTTTCTTTTCATATATTTTTATTGGTTTCAGAGAGGAAGGGAGAGAGAGAGAGGGAGCAAGAGACAAAAACATCAATAATGAGAGAGAATCATTGATTGGTTCCTCCTGCATGCACTCTACTGGGGATGGAGCTTGCAACCTGGACATGTGCCTAGACTGGGAATCAAACCATGACCTTCTGGTTTATAGATGGATGCTCAACCCCTGAGCCACGCCGGCTGGGCCACCGTGGTTTTTGTTGGCCTTATTATTCATTCTGTTTGGGAAAGTGTCAGTTTATCACAGATTTGATGAAGTTAGAAGCAGGGAGTGATTGACTTAGTTGCTCACTGAAATTTAAAAGCTTGAAAGGGTGGTGTGCAGAGATGTGCCTGCCACCATTGTGATACAGAAGAAGTTTATTTGCAATATTTCTACATATTCTGTTTCCTTGAGGCCTCTTCGCCATCTTGTTTCTTAGAGCTCTTTGGCCTTTCTATAGTTTTCATAAAAACACAACTGTTGGATAAGACATATAATCAGTCATCAATACTGTAGCATAAATTTTAGTTACCTCTTCCAAGGGGTAGTTTCATTTGAAGCCTGACTCCTTACCATGGGAGGCAATGAAGGGACTTCCTATGTCAGGAAAATTCCAGGTACCAGTAAGTAGTTCAGAGGGATTTTTTGTGTGTCGAGGGGTAGGGAACCTCCCCAAATTTCTGAATTTGTTCCATAGTAGGTCTATTGCATAATTGATAGCTGATTAACTGAAAATAATACTGATGCTGCCTATAATAATAAAAACAATATCTATCTATCTGGCATAGGTGTGGTACATGTGGTTTTACTCACTTGTGTGGATAGCATGGATATGATTACGGAAGGAGACCTTATAGACATATACAAATGTATGCCTGTGAAACTCAAGGTAATGAACGCTGTCATTTGTAAACACATTTTCTGGTATGTTCCTATAATCACATGATATTACTTTGTATAAAAGTACAAATAGATACGTGTGAAGTTTAAGAATATTTGAAACAATTGCTTGGATAATTCAGACTTATTTTTTAAGTTTTAAGTATTAAGTATTTATCTTTCTGCTGACAGGCAACTTATATTTATTACAATTTAATTCAATTAGGTTCAATTCCACAAATATTTGTTGATTACCTGCAATGATTGAGCCAGTGTGATAGTCTCTAATCAGATACACAAATAATTGAAATAATTTCCCTGTGCTAAAAAGCTTGCAGCTTTATAGTTGGAGGTGAGGGGTCAGGGAAATTAGAGGAGAAAAAGTTGACAAAAGAATATGACATGATATGATTGAGTATAATAAATATGAAATTATGAAAAATAAAATGCAGTGAAAGTTTAGATGAGGAAAATAATGAGCTAAAGGTCGGGGGAGGGGGAAATTTTATTACTGGGGTGGCACTAGGATATGTTTTTTAAGGTGGAGGAGTATTTTAGGGGGAAAAACTCAGGCCAAGGGGACAGCATAAGTGAATTAATCAATTCATGAAAAAGTAGCATTTCAGGAGGCATAGAGTGTTCAGTTTAGTGGAGGGCTGGATCACT